TATTTCTATGGCCTGACCCATACCCTTACCCCAAATACCAGTTCATGCCCAACTCAACTCACACCTTAGTCCTGAACCTAACCCTTAGTTCTAGAATTGCGCCGCTCAAGGTGGCTGCATGTTGGAGCAGCTCTGTTACTTTCATTCTGAGATTTTGCTTTTGGAAACTTTAATTCCTCTTTTTCTGGATGTAAATCACACATTTTTTTGGATGATTGTTTCCTCTGGTATCAGATGCTGTGCAGCTGGAAGTATTTTTACAGAAACTTTTTAGTTTTGGACATTTGTTATGATGCGTAACCATGGCAACAAGGCAGTTTTCTACAACCAACAGCAGCTGATTAACATCTCAAAAGCTCAAATAATATCTCAACTACAGCCCCAAATCTCAAATGAGTTATGTGGACACATTCTCATCTACCTGCCAGCTGTGCTCGAGTGCCTGACCACTGAGATCCTGGAACTAGCAGGAAACACGGCTCATGACAGCAGAAGGACAGGATCATCCCTCGGCACCTACAGTTGTCTGTCCGCAGCGACGAGGAGCTCAGCAAACTGCTGGGAGGAGTGGCCATCACTTTGAGAGGAGTTCTGCCCGGCATTCAGGCGGTCCTACAGCCCAGGGGAACCGAGAGGCCAGCCGAGTCTGGGTGGACGGATCGGACGGCATCTGCAGCCAGTTTCTTAGGATCCACTGTGGGATGGACCTTTACAAGAGATCCTTCCTGCCTACAGCTATCAGTATCTGTAACATCTCTGAAATGAGGATAACAAGTTACAACAACAAATAATTTCCCTTTGGGATTAATAAAGTATTTTTGAATTTGAATTTGAATTTGAACCCATAAATTATGTTCTGCCATCAGGACTGGTCTTTGGTCCCCAAAAGGACTACTGGTCCTGACTAGGTAGATGCTTATTCCAGAAAACATCCTAAAAACTAAATAAATAAAGTACACACAACTATTAAAAAGCCACTGTACTTTGTTACACTTTCACTGGCTTCAGAGAACATGACCTGCACTATTTTGCACTTAAATGGTTAATAAGTTAAAGTTAAAGCCTGGTGCCTTTGAAAGTATCTGAAACCTATTTACCAAATTAATTTAGATTTGGTCTTTTAGTTTTGTCTGGATTACTCCTGAGAAAGTAGGAGTGTGTGTGTGAAGGGAATCATTAAGATTTATTGTTTCTTTAGTAGATTGATTAGTCTTCAAAGAAAACTGTGTATAATTTTCTTTAAATTGAGATTTTTACTAGTTCAACTGAGTTTTAAGACTTTAAAATATACTTTAATTCATAATTAATGTTTATCAGCTTTATTAAGCATTCAAATGAACCCAGAACACCTAGCTTGTGCCGTATGTTGTGGTACAGTCCAGATGGTGCACAAATGTTTATTTATGGAGAGTCTGAATAAATGAATGCTGAGCAACAAGAGTAAACTTAAACTGTAAAGGTCAGACACAGAGCAAAAGCTTCCCATTGTACTTGTTTCCAAGGTCTGTTCATACAGGTATTCACCGTATTTTCCTCCGTACATGTTACACCGCTGTATAAGTTGCATCAGTCCAAATATGTGTAATAAAGTGGAAAAAAATAAATGTGTTGCTTCACAGTATAAATCGCATCTATTACGCATCACCGCTGACGACCCGGAAATGGGGCTGGTGTGCCAAAAATCGATTGGCTGCCAAATGGCAGCCGTGGGAGCGTGCATGGGAGGACTTTAACAAGAATTTAACAAGATTAACACTTAAAAACAAATATTTGTTTGTTCAAAATTATAGTAAAGATGTCTCTCGGTCTAACTTTTCCTAAATGAATGCACTTCAATGGTCAAATCAGCTGCATTTCGGCGAGGCGGCACAATGAAATGAAGCTGATTTGACGGTTGCTCCAGGCATGATCCCGGAGCTGGACAAAGGTGGAACTATGGCAAGCCGATTGTGTCATTAATAGCAACGTTTACCTATTACATGACACAACGGTATGCCATACTGCTCGAGTGCCATCTAGCGGCTGAAAATGGTAGTGTTCAATATTTTCAATGTCAGAATGAATGAAAACGGTCATATCTCAGCCAACAATTGGTTTATAAATACGGGGGGGAAAAGCATAAATAAGTCGCTTCGGTGTATAAGTCACAGGGCATGTAAATTATGCAAAAAACTGCGACTTATAGGCCAAAGAATACAGTAGTTTGTGAACAAGCTTTAAGTGAATTTTCAATTTGCAGCAGCTTTGGTAAAAATTCTCAATTTCTGTTTAAATATGTGTGAAGTTTGGAAAGAGGTGGTACCTTTTTCTTTTGTTCATCTGTTTTATCAAAGTATCTTATGAACCACTGGACAGAACGCTCACCTCTGTGATCTTTTTAACCCTTTGAAGTGTGCTTCTCTTCCAGTTGAACCTGCTCCTCTCCTCCCTGCCCATCAAAAGGTCCCAGAGGCTCGGCCTCGGTGACTTCCAGTGAAACCTGAGAGCAGCAGCACGAGCAGCTATTTGCTCTGTAAATCTCTTTGTGCCGTTCACGTAACAGCAGGTGAGCTGCACGTTGTGACCAACACACCGAGCTCGCTTGCTTGCACACACACACACACACACACACACACACACACACACACAC